CGATTGTAAACGTTCCAGAAACGTTGAAAATAGTTCGTTTGACTAAACGTAAAAATTCTCTAATTAGTCTGGAAACGGGGGACCTAATTCTTGCATTCTGTGAAAACGGGTAAGATTAGCTATAATGTAATTATCTTAATCTTCACTATCGTTACTTTTTGCCCAGCGAAGCGGGTCCTTGCAGCTAGATTCTAGATTACTTAGAAAAACAGTCTTTTATATATAAAAAAAACTATATTACACACAAATAAAAACCCAGTGAAGTGGGTCCTTGCTGCTAGTAACTAAATAAAAATAAAATATAAATAACTAAGACATTAACACAACTGTGCCTAATTCTGCTTTTAAAGGTTTTTGTCGATGTTTGATTATTATTTAAGTGCAGTTTGGGAAGAATGTAAATATGGCAATGTTTTCCTTTACTTATATGTTTTTGCTAAGCTTTACTTTTTCAACCTGATTTCACCAATTTTTTTTTATGGGATCAAATAAAAGCAATTCTTCTTGCATTTTTAAAAGTTTTTTATTTAAACAATCTTTTGGACGTTAAGGTTAGCAACTTTCATCACATGCAGGGCCAACACAACCTATCCAACACGGATCACGGATTCTGCAACAGTCCCTTCTTCCTATCGGACCAAGCAGTACGGTGGCATTCAGATACGAAAACTGCATAATACGAGATTACCAGCAAGCACAAAATACATTTTAAATGGCTTTCAAGGGTGCCGAGTTTAAATATTCGATCCATTTTTCAGACAATTTAATTCGTCGAAAGATTACCGTTTGATATATTCGGCTGCGAACGGTACAATTTCTTGGAGTTAACATTAGGAAAAAATACGACATTTTAAAAAATTTTATATATCACATTTTCATTTGGTGTCTACTCGAACAACGAAATCGTGCCATTTCGTACTGTTCAAGAATGGCGATAAACGTGACAAGAGGTTAAAATAACCAATTTCTTTTTATCGTTTGTTATATTATAGTATTTGATTTGTGTAACTATAAAGCTTATGTTAGGTAAGTCCTTACATAAGATAATCTTTGTAGTTATATAAATCAAATACTATAATATAATAGAAGGGTTAGAAGTACGAATTAATCTTAATGTTTGCTTTTATTTTTTTCCCGGGAGACACCGGGCTTACACGCTAGTATTTATTATGAGAATATGGCCCATATTATTATATATATTATATTATAATATCAAAAAGATAATAAAAATAATAATTAAGCCTCTTTAAGCATTAAATGCACAAATGTTTGAATCAGTCGGCAATAAAATAATTTTTAAAATATTTCAAATAAAGACAATCGGCAATGCCCGAAAGGCACCTCACGCTTTCACTAATCGCACGAATGGCCATTTTTCGCCCATAACTTTCATCAGAAATAAAATTTAAACGTAGAGCTTACGAGAGTATGTTTACTAACAAATACGTGTAATTTGTAATAGATTAACTAATAATAAATACGAATAAAATTATACATTTTTTGAAAACTTACTAGCACAGCAGAGCGCCATTTTGACTGTAGTTCTCACGATTCCCTGTAGAGGCGCCGTAATAGTTTATAGAATAATGTTATAAAATTTGAACAATTCATAAAATCGCAATGATTAAAACTGATTCCATTTTCAGCCGTTGTTCGAGTTATTATAAATATAGCGGAAAGAAATAATAAAATTGCGCTAATTTCATGTTGTGATATAATTTATTTTATGAGCAAGAAGATACTGTATTTAAAGTACGTTTTATGGCCGGTACATTACGGACAGGTACGGAACTACTTTTAATTTTTATTCTTTCATCCATTAATACGACCATTTTCCAAAGCTAACTTGAATTGGTAGGATGGTCCTGTATCGTTCTGGGGGATCCGGAATCGAAAAATCCCAGGAATATTTCCGGGGTAGTCCGTCCGGATATGTCGGAATCCGTCCCTCACCACCCTGCCGTCACATTGTGGGTCCGGCCGTACCCGTAATGGGCTTGTTAAAAACAGGCCTTCTTAGTGCCCATAGGGCGAAAAGTTTTTTTTTAAGAAAAAAGTCGAAAAAGTACAGGATATATCAAACCTCTTTGCGGGCCTAGCCGAACTCATAATGCGTTTCCTAAGAACACCCTCTTAGTGCCCACTAGAGCGAACAGTTAAAAAAAACCCAGTAAAATTAAAATATTGTTTGAGAATATCGAACAGATCCCTATTTTAAACAGCCTTCCGTGGCTCCATTTGCGCGCTATTTTCGTGTAACCAATTACTCGCACAAATGAGGGATTACCGTATTTAAAAAATAATTACCTACATCACTGCTTCGCAATTTTTTCATTTTTTTTTAAAATAGCTATTTTATAACAGGATGAAAACTTTTCGAAACATATTCTACACAATAATGATGAATTTTTAATATATCGGATTGATGGGATAAGGCAACGCAACATGTGCAATCTTTCAAGGAGATAGAACTTTCCACGGGAAACTGGCCCCTATTTAGACGTTACACACGTGAAGAAAACTCGGAAAATTATTCCACGTGACCAACTACCAGTCTTCTTCTTTGTCTTGGCTTTTTCCCACGTTTATATGGAGTCAGCATTTCCATCTTTGATTTGTTTTCTCCATTTCTCTATTCAGGGCGCCCTGTCTCCTCCATTTTCTGTCGCACAAATCTTTTGCCACCTTGTCTCTTCATCTGTTTTGGTCTTCCACACTTTCTTCTCCCTATGACTTCCAACTATCCAATCCTCTTTCCAACATAGTTCTAACTTCTCTCTACATATCAAAATCATCTTAATCTACTTTCCTGCATCTTCTTACTTACAGGACCCAACTTGACTGTTCCTTTTATGTAATCATTCTTAATTTTGTCCTACCTTGTCATAGACTCGTAGCCTACCACATATCCATCTCGGCACGTGATCCAGGCTACAGGCGTTCGGTGGTTTTATCCACTCGGATAGTAGACGATCGAGCCAAATTTTACTTGTAATAATTGAATTTATTCTTGTTTCGTTGACATTTCGAGTTTTTATTTATTTATTTATTTTTTGTCGACCGAATAATCGAGGCAAATTTATTTAATTTTATGAAATATTATGGTTGCGTCTAAGTGACCAGTAGCTAAGTAAGCAAACCATTGACACAATTTGTTTCACACAGTATGAAACAGTATTAATTGGCTTGCTTACATAGCTGCTGGTCGTCTCCTAGATCTCTCTCTCTCTCTCATCTGTATTCTGTTTTCCATAAATTCTTTTACAAATTTAATTAACTGGAATTGTAAATTTTATCTCAGATTAAAGAAGAAAACTAAATTCAAATTCTTTTATATACAAAAATATACAATTTACATTAATTTTAAATTCTTCTTATAACATTCCAAACTACAAAGTGGAATTCCTGTTTTTGAACAAGAATACTTTTTAAAACTTTTACATCCTTTAACACCACAAAATATTCTGGAAGGTGGCCTGAAATATATTAAATGAGTATATTAATTTAACGATTTTCATCATTATTTTTAAATACAGTAGTCTATACCTCGATTTAACGGACTAATTTGGGTGATGGGGTGTTTATTAAGGCTGAAAGTATGTTATGTATCTATAACAGGTTTTACGAATATGTGTTAAAAAGTTGACAAATTAGTTAGTTTTTTTAGTTATGTAGATCCATTTGTGTAATTAAAATTCATTATGTATGAGATGCTTCATTTCATAGAAAAGTTTTCTTAAGTATTATTGCTTATTACTTATCATAGTTCTAAGACTGTAGTAAACGCGTATACAATCTGAATCAAAATAAACAAATATTTTTTGGAAAATACACTTTAAGAGCAATGACTCTTGCATTTGAAAAAAAACCTGTTACATTAATTATATATAAAATGCATTTTAAAATTAAGAGGGTGTTAATTTTCACCTATGATATACAATACAAACCGGAAATTTTGTCCATTCAATCAAGGTTTTACTGTAATATTAATTTAAAAACGTACAGTTTGGAAACTTTAGGTGTTAATGGATACTCTTGTCCTGGAGGTAACAGCAACAGAATTGTCTCTTGATTATTTATATACGTCATTTTTGGGGCATTCGATTTTTTAGTTTGTTTCATCTAAAAGAAAAAGATATATTATAAGATACAGGTCACAAAAATATGTATAATATTCCTGTTTTTTAATATATGATACTTAAACATTTTTCAACTTTCTGTATGTTTAAAGACATTTGAAAGTAAGGATGCTAGAGGGAAAGAAAAGAAAACTGCCCTAGCCCTCAAGCCCAAGAAAGTAGGAGCCCCTATACAGTGTTTTTTGTTTATTTCCTTTCATATAATATGTATTTTACCTCAGGGTGGCCCTGCTTAAAAGATAGGAAATAACATCTTTATTTTTATAGCCACAAGATTAATTGTAATCTCAAATCATGTTAGACATTAGTAGATGTTATAATCATAAAACACATTCCACAGAAGTCATTTGTTTTATCTTACAGCATTTTTTTTTAAGCATGTTCAATAAAGATATGGACTTCTGTACTAAATAGAGCAGAATTATCTAATATAAATTATCTACCTACTGAACAGTCTGTTATAAAGTAAGATATGATATCTCTGGATGTGTTTCAACTGTACCTAAAACATATGACAAAAAACTAGTGACATCAAATAAAATCATTTGCTTTTTTATGCAAGATAAATAAGAATGATCTTTGTGATGGATGAATGGATGAAAATGTTATCTTGACCTTTGGTCATTTTACAATTGCGTCATTTGACTTTGATTTTTTTTATCCAGAGCTATCATAACAATTGTTTCCCACAGATTTGTTTCCTTGTTGAGGATGATCCATCTAGTCATTAATATGTCACCTAGAACTTTCAACAAATTTCCAGCATTGGACGCCAGGCCTTTAACAACAGACTCCTGATCTCATGGAAAAAACCCAGAAGAAACCCAAATAACCAGGGAGAGCGATGACAAATCCAGGCAGTTGTCGTCTAGTTGTCCAACTCCTGAGAAGAACTCACTACATAATATCTCTGCCACTTTCAAACCAAATCTCAAGTGTTAGCCAAATTTAGAAATCTGTTGGATATTCTTTGTGGACTATTCTCTCCGAGCTGCCGTTGTTGGATATCAACGTATCATCCTTCAAGTCCTTAGATCTACCCCAAGACTCCTAACAAGGTAGTTATCAACATGCAAATCATTTGTAAACTCTCTCTCTCGAACAGTCTAGTAATGTTATTAGAACATGTAGTCAGGCTTGGTACTCTTGTATACCTGTATGTTCTTTTGTTAGTATTAAAATCATTATTGTTAGTTAACTGGTATTCCTTGTCTCTCTCCTCACCTCTACTCCGAATCCAACCGCTTACTCGCAACCGCTTGCGTAACGTAAGAACTATCCATTGCGATTTCCAAGTCCTGAGAGACTCAGTGGTGTCACATCCTGACGTGGTGTCAAAGAGATACCGACCCTATGGTCACAATCTTTTATCATCAATTAATTGCATAAATTTGCAAAATCTATAGATATATTAGCATATAAATTGCTGTGTAAGAAATAGATTCCAATAGGCACAACCAGTTTGAAAAACATATTAAATAAATTGTTATTTTATATAATGAATGTAATAACAAATATCAGAATAATTATACAAAAATCACTATGTTAAAAGAATGTAATTTCATAGAATAAGTATATTTATGAATACAAAACTCATTCATTGAGTTTCAAAAAAATCTTTAGATTTCAAGTTCTCCATCTCTCTTTGGAATAAAAATTCTTCAAATTAAGTTTTTAAAATAAAAATGATTTGTTAGTTTCTTAAGTAAGCCTTTTATTTTCCATAAGTTCAGTGCCAAATTGAGACTGCATACCTAGAAATACAGTTTTAATGTTATAAACACAGAGAGCCACTCAACTTAAGATATGACACTTAAATACAACATTTCATATAGTTTCTAACAGAAAATTCATATCAGTTATTAATTAAAGAGAGGTGTTGGAAAGCGACATGCATCTACTGTATAAAATGTTTACTTATCGGTAAAAATAGATATATTAAAAATGACTGTATTGCAATTATTTCTTAATATACTAGTCATACCTAGCAAAATATTTGCTGTAAAAAATTGCTGTTAAATTACAAATAAATAGAAAAATAAAGACACAATTAAATTTATTTACATAATTTATAATTATTTTTAACATACATAACAGTTTATACATTTCTTAAAGTCTTGTATTAATAAAAATATATTTATTAATACAAGACTTAAAAAATGTTGTATACTGAGAAATTTTGTATATAAATACCTTCACAGATAGATATATTTCCTTGTTCTGAAGAATTAATAACTATAAATTTTAATTTTGAAAAGATCTTACTCTGGTCAATTACATGTTACCATGTCTGAGGCACACTTCAATACAAATTCAGCTGAAAGTCAGTCTTTGAAAATTAAGTCAACAACATTTAATCAAATATAAATGTTTGTTTCTTTATTGCCTACCTACAAGACTGCTTTGCTTACTTGCCATTTTATTTAAACAAAATGATATCATTCCTCCCCACCAAGATTTAGTTTACAATAATCTTTCATCAGTTATATAAAATTAAAAACTAATTGGAAATCAATGACAGAATGTCAATTTGAGAAGTTATTTTCAGAAGCATTTTTATACTGGATGGAGATAAGTTTAATTACTGGATAGGAAGAGAGGAGAACACTATGGCAACAGTAAAACTGGGCATATTTTCACTTCTAATTACTTTAAACAATAAAATAGATGAAAAAGGGCTAAAGTATATTAAATAAGCTTCAAAATGATGTATAAAATATAAATATAATTCATACAAAAGTACAGTAGAGTGTCAATTATCTGAACGTCGATCAACGAAAAGGTCGGTTAACCAAAAGCATTCCAGTCGGACCGTATCCTGACGAATTGAATGTTTTTGATACTAGATTAACTTCTAAAGTATAATTTTTTTGTTTTTATATTTTTTAATATATTTATTTTGTTTGTACAAAATAAAGAAATAATTTTTAACGATACAATAGCCACGATTATTATTATAAAAATTTTTGTTAGGCTTAACATCGACGAAAATTCAACACGAAGCGACACACAATGGAAAAAAATTTAAGCACGGGATATATTAATATACTATTATTGGGATGTTGACCGCCCTATAACACGGTAGATACATTCCGGTTTTTATGAATCCATTTTCTACGAGTCCAGCCAATCACAGCCCGGCACGTATGCAGTTTACGGACTATGGCTGTTTGAAAGGTTTCTTCCATAAAATTAATTGATTCTAGACTAATTTGATTCAACATTTCCAAAATGTGTATAATTTTTTGGGAATAATCCATATAAACTATGCTATAAACAAAAAATTGTAGGATTACTTACCGAGTGTGCACCATTCGACTATGCAATTGCTTATGCTTGTTTTCGTCGTGGAGCTTGTCATTGAATGTGTGCTTCTTGATAAATTATTTTTTTTCCAAAAAATTTGCTGAACTTTGGAGACATCATTATTATAAATATAATTTTTATCGACGTTAAATAATAAATGGTTTTTAGTAGGTCTGCTGCTCGTTTAAACTCAACGATTTGTGCAATATCTGCTATTGGTCTAGATTCGACCAATCCTCTCGCNTATTCAACGGCCATAAAAATTATTTATATTAATGTGTTGCCAGGCGGCAGAAAGCATATATATAATTATAATAAAGTTACAATAAATTAAGTTAATATATAATTATATGTACAGTACCTAATTTATATATAATTTATATATAATACTAAACAGACGATAGCAAACTCAATTTAGCCGCTCCGTAGCGTGGCGCAGGGTCGGAGGAAAGTAGTTCGGCTGCTCATCCACTATTGGTCCAGACTCTATCAATCTTGTCGCGAAACGACGTTATGGGAGGTATGTTTTACGAGAGTTTGTACAATTTTTTCGTTACGTTATAGGAATTGTCGTTATTAGAACGTACGTTATAGGGGGGTCGACTGTATTTAATTTTCTTTCTGTTGAGACCTAAATATCAATCAAAAGACCAATTGTACTGTAAAATAAACAGGCACAGCCTTCTCACTGAGATTGTAGTTTTTTTATTGTAGTGTAGGACCTACAAACACTTGTCTTTTTCTTTTACCCGCGACCCCCCATGTAAGGCTTTGTGACCTCCCTGGAGTCACAACCCACAGGTTGAAAAACACTGCCTTAATGAACTGGAAATAGATTTTGCCTTAGTCTATTCTTTATTTAGATCTCTTTTTATATTTCTTAATATGTAATTGTAATAATATATAAGATTAGAGGAGGACGGGGCAGCTTCGGCACGTTAAGGATAATTTAAATTTACTGTAACAAATATTGCTATAAACTGGAAAAAAAAACTTTGTTTATTGTCTATTAGAATGTTACCTTACTATAGAACTGGTTAAAATCAGTTTGAAAATAAAAATAATCATAAGAATAATAACTTTATAAAAAGATAGCAGTTGCCAAAGTTGCCCCTGGTATTGGGGCAACTTTGGCAACAGTAATGGGACATGATAGACAGGTATATAAATTTGTGTTATTGACAATGTATAAATTGGAATTCACTATTAAATCAAAGAAATGCAAGTCCAAAAATTTATTTAATATTATAACAACGAAATTCGAGTTAAAAGACATATATAAATGAAGAAAATGTAAACAAAAATTAATTACAAAAAAATCAAACAGATAATAATTGAAAACATCCTAATGCAAGTTAAGAGCAATATAAATGAATTAGTGAATTCAAACAAACAGTAGTAATGAAATATGCTTAATAGCAAATTGTTTATGCCCTACACATATTGCAAATAAATTGAACCAAGTGATTTTCTGTACAGTCCACATGAGCCCACAGTTCACACTTGCAACACATAATCCACTTTTCCTGAGTAGTTCCATATTGTTCATTGCAACATAAGAATAAGTATTTTCATTGTCATTTTCCGGTTCTTTAGAACTTTTCTGCCCCTTTCTTTTAGTGAACTTCAAATCCAATTTCTCCAAATCCATTGCCCTTTTGCAAGTTCCTGATTTTTTAACTTTAGCCTTGGCTTTTAGTGTGGCTTTGTATGGGGATCCAGTTATTTCTTCTGTTGTTTATTGTTTGTGACCACATCAAACCATAGCAAAACACGATCAGGAACAAGATCGGCAACACTGCCGAAGATGCCCCAATAGTCACAATTTAGAAACATTAAGTGGGACCCTGAGAATAGGGTACCAAGCCATGGTCTGGCCACATGAAAAAGTTAATGTTTTATCAGGAACAGGAAAAATAACTTCAGGAAAAAGTTAATGTTTTATCTTCTAACAGGAAAAATAACTTTTGTTATTATGGAATTATAACAAAACATGCCAATTTTCTATAAATGAAAGCAAAATATTATAAGAAATTGAATGAAGCAGACAACTTATTAAATATTTCAACTACGCTTGTCAGAGAACAACACAGACACCATGCTCAACAAGCTGTCATTAAAACTCAACTGTCTAACCACTAAAGAGAGTCTCATTTTATTTTGTTTCAAAGAAAATTTAATTGACGAACCTGTCCCGTATGCCAAACTTACCACATCCTGCCCTAATAAAAATTTGTAAAATTAAAATGTAAATAACTGTTAAATAAAATTTATTAATTTATATTTGAAAATTATATTATTTAAACGAAATTTGTTCATTTTAGTCTGAATAGCTAACTTCTTATTTTAAAACAAAAACTAAAAAAAAATTCTAATAAATCAGATGTTCTATTTTTATCCATAAATATTTTTGGAGATTTGCTCTTTTCCATTGTCAAATAAAAAAAGTTTTTGATTTGAGTATTTGACATTTTTGTGTTGTCATGGCAGCAGTTTAAATGATAGATTTAAATCACTCACAACAGCATGCAATCAAAAACTTTTGAAAAATCTCCCCATCTGACGATGAAGAGTAAATCTCTGAAAATGTTTAAAAAATAAAAAGCTGATTAAATTTTTGTTTTACTTTAGTTTTTTCTGCTTTATTAAATTTTTTCAAACTCTAAATTTCATGACATTCAGTTTTTAACAAATATAAAACTCTGACAAATAAATACAGAAACTTACTTTTGATAGTTTCGATTTTACATCTGTTTTTTTCAATAATCTTTCAATTGTTTGTTTCTGAAATAAAAAAAATATTAATTATTTATAAAATTTTTAAATTTTATATATTTTCTGTAACTAAATGAATTTATTACAACAAATATTCAAAATACCAGTACATTGTTTAATAAATATTTTTAATTATTGTCTGATAAATCAATAAGTAATATTTGAACAAACATAATGTATTTAAAAAAGGAAATTAATTTGAATAAAATCAGCCAATTAAAAAATCAATTAAAACATTTGGTGATACCAGAGGGAGTAATGTTAAGCTGTGTGACAAAACTTATTTTCCTTTTATTTACTTTTTGTTTACACTCATTATTATATATATATATATATATATATATATTGTTTTATTGTACACTTTAAGAATATTATATTTTATACAATTTATTTTATGTATGTATGTATATATATACATAAAATAAATTGTATAAAATATAATATTCTTAAAGTGTACAATAAAACAATATATATATATATATATATATATATAAAAANTATTTTATACAATTTATTTTATGTATATATATACATACATACATAAAATAAATTGTATAAAATATAATATTCTTAAAGTGTACAATAAACAATAAAATAAACTTTTTCTTGAAAACAAATAATAAAATTTTCAAAACAAGAAATATGGCAAACTTTATGTTCTTGAGAGGGGTTACATACAGGGGGGGGTGCAAAAATAGATATACAGTTGAAAATTTGAAAAATACAAATGTGTGGTGTTCATTATTATTTTTATCATCTTTATTAGTTCATATTCCTTGTTTGTGATTTAATTTGTACATAAAAATAAATGTTTTTCTTCCTATTTTCTCCCTTTATGTTTCTTTCCCATAATAACAACTGTATACCTACTTTTGCACCCCCCCTGTATATAGTGTTAAAAGTTGCATCCGTGGCATTACCAGTAATTAACATATTATTAAACTATTTTATTAAAAAAAAATGAATATTTATAATATGGCCGACAAGGGGACAACATGATGCTGGGGTCACCGATTTTGATCAAACTCGGCAGGGATATATATAGTGCATTGACAATGATTGACACGTGTCAAGCAGTAAGGCGCACTACTCAAAATTAAATGAGAAACTTAAAGTTGAAAATTTCACAATCATTAAAACCTTTAGAATTTCCATCACAATCCTTTAGAGATTGATTGGTAATTCTGTGGAGGCACACCAGTTCCTTAATCAGATGGTTGGTATTTCGAATCTTATCTCTATCGCTACAAATTTTTTAAAATTAAAACTATAATTTTTACTTTATTCTTGGTATTTTTAAATTTATTATATTTATTTAAAAATTATATTTGAATATTCATGTACAGTACATATGGAATTCATACATATTTATTTATAATTTATTTGGGAAGAGAATAAAATCTTCATTGAAGATCAATTTTAATAAGAAGCTAAAATTAGTGACATTTGCCGGATATAATCAGTCACTTTTATTATAAAAGTTAAAGATCAATTTTGTTAGTAAAAAAGATATTTTTTATTAACATTATTCAATTTGTTTGCTCTTTGGGAGCAAAACTTTGAAGATGATAATTGTTGTAGAAACATATGAAATAATAGACATTTCTGCAATGTGTCTATGGAATGAATGCAGCAATTTTACAATAACAAAAAGATTTACATAGCCTATGTCAATGAAAAAATAAACTTAATTAACATTTAAAAACATTTCTCTGTTATCAACTAATTTAGAGGAGAACCATGCATACCATACATTTTTGAAAATATCAGTGTGTTTAATTGATTATTATAGAAGAAATTTCTCAATGCTGCTCTATTAACTGTGAACAATTCTATAGTTGTTTTATAAAATACTTAATTCGCTGATAAAAATAAACGTCTCATGTAGTTGTACATTTTAGTGGTATAATTTTTAAATACATAATGAATATACAGAAAATGTTGTTTTTAAATAAATATTGTTAGATAGCATTTCTTAATTGCTTTAGACATTGGCTTGTTATTTGAAATGGATCGATTGTATTGTTTTATTACACTGTTTATTAAAACAACCTCTCACACAACTCCTGGGAAGATAAATCAACACAAAAAACCTTTTTTAATATCCCAGTATGAACAAATTGTACACTGTTTATTGTATACTTATAGTTTTCTAAACAGAAATCAGTTTTTCTCTTTGACAATATAATAAATTTAAAAATACTAATGAAGTGATAATTATCTATATATATAAAAATGAATGTATGTCTGTCTGTGTGTCTGTCTGTGTGTCTGTCTGTCCTTCATGCATTACCACACCATTTATCCGATTGCCGTGAAACTTTGGGAAGTTGTTTAATATACTCCCGCGAAGGTTTGTGGCATAGTACATTTATCCTACGATAGATGGCGCGCGTGTATACAAGCACTGTGTATTTTGTGTGTTCGATCGATTTCAAATTGTGAAGACCATTTTCCCCCTCCAAAAAATATCTCTATATATGCAAATGTTATTTACGATATTTGTAATAATTTTTGTTTAATCACTTTATTT